AAAAAAATTTTAATTAAAAAAATTAAATTATTTTAAAAAACACAAAAAAACAAAAATCTTTTTCGATTTACATCTATCTTGACGCGGTGAGAAAGCTTTAATACTAAAAGATGTAAAAATATTTAAGTATACATTTTTAAAAATTGATCTGAAAATGATATGCCCCCCCCCCCTAGAAAAAATTCTGCGGACGCCCATGGTTATATAACGACAACATGTGATACAGCGGTAATAAAGAATATAAAATTGACATCATTTAATGACATCCATTGAGAAATGTCAGGTGTATACTTGAGCATTAATCTTGTTTTATTATTTTATGCGCATACTAAAATCGCGATATTTAGTTTTATTAAATGTAGAATTAATTACGTGGTCTTTCGAAGATTATTAAGCAAAATTTATATCCTGTAAATAAAACTTATGCGTGATGTTCTTCTCTTGATAATAAATATAAATCTTCATGTTTGTATCGTAATTATTCAAAATAAATGTTTTATCTAAAACTAAGTACCATCTATTGCGGAAATCACAAAAATATATATATATAATACAATCGGATATTCTTAGAATTATTGTGATTACGCTGATTAAAATATGCTCTCTTATTCTGAGAATAAATTTATAATAGATATGATTATACTACATCATCTTAGTTAATTTTATATAATTCCATGACGTGATTGACTTTCAATCGAGATAGGTGTCCTTCGCGCCATATATAAAAAGATTACCTCTAGCCAAGGTTTAACATTTTACTATCATAATAAGAAAAACATTAGTGGCGGTTTGTCAACAGATTCGAGCAGAAATTACAACATACTGTGTCACCAATTATGTTCACATTAAGCTTACATCCTGTTCGCAAAATCTGTTGTTGATATTCGATTGACAAAAATCAATGTCTTTTTTCGTGCGCATCATAAAGTGGAGAAATACTCTGGAGTTACATATCTGTTATACCCCTCCAATATACATGTTATTATATAATAGTTGCTAATTTGGATAATAAATTGCAATAACGACAGAAAATGTATGCACGTTTTTAAAATACACGAACGCTTTTAAATCTTCAAATTTTGTTATTAATATTTAATGACAAATGCTAATTCGGAGTTTGTTACTAATAATAAGTAACACTTGCATAAGGAAAGTCATCGGTGAGGTGTAACCTAATATGCATATTTACCAATATCAGGAAATGTTGGTAGCGCATAAATTTAGCCAAATATATCGCGGAAGATTCCACGGAATATCATTAGTTCAGACATCGTCTTAGTTTTCATACTATTATTTTTTATTCTTTGCCCATCACAGGTTCACTTTGTAGTTTCTGCTACACTTACATGCATTGATGCAAGTTTTGCGTTTTGTGCCCGTTGCCAGCGCGTGTAGAGGTGATACGCACACAACCGTGAACCGTATACATGCAATGCGCAGAACGTTCTGCTTACATGTACACAGTTCACGCTTGTGTGCGTATCGCCTCTACACGCGCTGACAGCGGGCACAAAACGCAGAACTTGCATCACTGCTTACATAGTGGTCCTGCGGGCAATATCCTATAACAGGATGTTGTACACATTGGTTATTCGTAACAGGTCATTCACATTTCTTTAAAAATGACCCAATGATCCAAAATTAACTATTTTATGCATCCTGTTCGCCAGAATTCCTGACAGTGGTCTTGAGAGCAGAGGATAGCGATGGTTGTGTGTTACAATTATTTCTTTCTTATCTTAAAATTAAATTTTTGTAAATTCTTTAAGCATGCTTGCAAAACTCTATCAGAGTTTGACAGAGTTTGACTCTACAGAAAATTATTAAAAAATTGAAGAAGTATGAATTTTTTATTTTATGACTATATAATTTTTTTTATTTTTGAAATCAGTAAAGAAAACTATTAAAGAGACTTGAAATAACGACTTTAACCGCTTTATGTATATAAAAAAAAATCTTATGAATCTTAAAATATTGTTTTTATTTATTTACGAATAAACATAAAGAACGATTTTTTCGCACATAATACTAGAATAGAAATGCTATAAAAAATTATAGTAATCCTTGTATTAATATTTGACAATTCATTTTTCAGAGACATTTTGTATCATTATGTCTATTGAATATTCAAAGTGATTGATTAAAATAATATCCAAAGCAATTGACTAAAATAATATATTATCTCACAATAATTATCTCACATTTATATCACTATTTTTGTAAAAAATTAAAACAACTATTTTGTAAAACTTAACTTTTGTTTTTTAGTTTAAATATGACAGTGTTTTTGTATTAAAATAACACTATTTTATATAAGTTTTTTTTTTTATAGCGAAAGGCGCTTGTGCGCGTGCACTTGGCGCCTTTTTCTCACTTTTTTTAAAAGAAGGTACTTTTTTAGCATAGGATTAACACAATTAACTCTGCACAATTAATAATACATATAGTTTGTATATCGTCATCTATTTACATCTATGGGGAGGCTATGCGTGTGTGAGTTTTTCCTCGTTATATTTTTTCACTTAAAAGCAAAATAAGGAATTAGATACTCACATCACATCGAGGACAAAACGTTGTTCTCAACGTTTACGATGAGCAACGCTACGATAAGAAACACATTCTGAATCGCGAAAAACCGCTTGTGTTTTTGTCACTATGTTTTTTAATAAATTGAAGTACGAGAGAATGCATCAGACAGGTGCATCTCGCATGCCGACTAACGTGCAACTCGTATTTCGTGCTGCGGGTATATTAAGTTTTGCATCGATCCATTCAATATCCAACATTTTGTCTAAGCGTGCGCAGTTCATAAGTTTAGACCGGTGAAACAAAAATACAATGTCATGATCTTGCGGGCTCTTTCAATATATGCCATGCATACTAAATTCTAATATGGTACTTAAAATGCGGGGTGATAAAGAGGTCATTGTGTGATCTTTTATCTCTTTCTATTGTAGGCCTTTTTTAGTGGTAGAATCACCATCAAAACTCGATGATGGTAGTGATGTCGACTATATATACATACACTAGTGCAAAAGTCTAAGAAGAAAAGAGACAAAGGTCACACAATGCCCCCCCCTTTGTATCTCCCGTTTACGGCAAGCTTATATGGGAAGGTGCGTTGCAGTATGTATAGAGTTTAGTGGCCATGCAAGATAATGCAAGATATGCGAGATAATCAGCTGATGCTGATGCGCGTAAAAATATAGCTATATATGTTTTCATTCATTGCAGTGAAACTGGATTATCGACATAGGCAAGACAATAATATAGGGATCTGTTAGAGCATTATGTACATAAAAATATTATCTATTGCGGAAATTTTTCTGTTAAAACTCCATTCAATAGAGATATTAAAGACAAATTTTGTTTTTATTTCTACATGTTTTATTCTTCGGGAGGATTAATAGTTTAGAAGAATATATAAAATATGCCATCTTTTTCTATATAATTAGTTATCTCGGAATTATTTTATTGTATGAAATATTAAGTGTAAAATAATTGTGATAAGAAGAAAAAGTATTTTCTCTCTCTCTCTCTCTCTCTCTCTCTCTCTCTCCGTTTTAAATTTGTTAAAATATTTGCCATGAAAGCATCTTTAACAGCAATGTCAGGACATTTTATATAGGAGAATTCACTTACCATGAAAACTACATGGGAAATCCTTGCTATTCACGTCTGGAAACGCGTTGCCGAGAATAATGAACCCTCGTACTGAACTCGATTTTTATATGTGAAAAGCTGTGAAAAGATCTTTCTCGTATTCAAGAAGAGTTAGAATGGCTTCTCTTTTCTCGACACTTTTATAGTGAGTTATAAAATACATATAACTGAAAGATTTAGACGAGAAATCAATACGTTGTGACTTCAAAAACAATTCACATTAAACTGATTCGTGTAAACTAATTGTAGACATCATATTATTGATTTATCAAAGGCGATAAGCAGCACTCTATAAATACAACTTTTAATTGTTGCACACAAGTTTTTTTTTAAATCAGTTCAGGTATTACTTCTCCAATTAGATTCCATCATTCTATTCTCGACTCTAATATTTTATTGTTAGCTGAAAAATCTTGCGACCCGACGTAATGAATCATTCTCATCTTCCATGTCGGTGCTTGTTGACGCGTTATCGAGACCGAGCAACTAGAAAATTGCTCGTATAATAGGTGGTTGATACAATACGAAGTAATGGGAACCATATAATACGCATGGGCGCAGATGAGACGTTATTTATGCATGAAAAACATTCATTCTACAGAACGTAGAATCAAAGCCTAAATTAATACTTCATAATCTTGTGTCACTATTTCTCAGTTATGTTGTAAAAGAACAGCGTGTGTGTGTGTGTGCGTGTTATTCGAACAAAAGAATCGAACAGAGAAAGAGAATCTCGAACAGATTATTTTATTATTCTATTATGTACATAATATTCTCTCATTATATCGTACCGATATAAAAAAATAAAGTTAAATATGCATTTAAAGTTGATATATAGAGTATAATTTTATTTATTTCCTAGAATGTGCTTGGACACACAATGCCCCCCCCTTTGTATCTCCCGTTTACGGCAAGCTTATATGGGAAGGTGCGTTGCAGTATGTATAGAGTTTAGTGGCCATGCAAGATAATGCAAGATATGCGAGATAATCAGCTGATGCTGATGCGCGTAAAAATATAGCTATATATGTTTTCATTCATTGCAGTGAAACTGGATTATCGACATAGGCAAGACAATAATATAGGGATCTGTTAGAGCATTATGTACATAAAAATATTATCTATTGCGGAAATTTTTCTGTTAAAACTCCATTCAATAGAGATATTAAAGACAAATTTTGTTTTTATTTCTACATGTTTTATTCTTCGGGAGGATTAATAGTTTAGAAGAATATATAAAATATGCCATCTTTTTCTATATAATTAGTTATCTCGGAATTATTTTATTGTATGAAATATTAAGTGTAAAATAATTGTGATAAGAAGAAAAAGTATTTTCTCTCTCTCTCTCTCTCTCTCTCTCTCTCTCTCTCTTTTTCTATTTATCTCGGAATTATTTTATTGTATGAAATATTAAGTGTAAAATAATTGTGATAAGAAGAAAAAGTATTTTCTCTCTCTCTCTCTCTCTCTCTCTCTCTCTCTCCGTTTTAAATTTGTTAAAATATTTGCCATGAAAGCATCTTTAACAGCAATGTCAGGACATTTTATATAGGAGAATTCACTTACCATGAAAACTACATGGGAAATCCTTGCTATTCACGTCTGGAAACGCGTTGCCGAGAATAATGAACCCTCGTACTGAACTCGATTTTTATATGTGAAAAGCTGTGAAAAGATCTTTCTCGTATTCAAGAAGAGTTAGAATGGCTTCTCTTTTCTCGACACTTTTATAGTGAGTTATAAAATACATATAACTGAAAGATTTAGACGAGAAATCAATACGTTGTGACTTCAAAAACAATTCACATTAAACTGATTCGTGTAAACTAATTGTAGACATCATATTATTGATTTATCAAAGGCGATAAGCAGCACTCTATAAATACAACTTTTAATTGTTGCACACAAGTTTTTTTTTAAATCAGTTCAGGTATTACTTCTCCAATTAGATTCCATCATTCTATTCTCGACTCTAATATTTTATTGTTAGCTGAAAAATCTTGCGACCCGACGTAATGAATCATTCTCATCTTCCATGTCGGTGCTTGTTGACGCGTTATCGAGACCGAGCAACTAGAAAATTGCTCGTATAATAGGTGGTTGATACAATACGAAGTAATGGGAACCATATAATACGCATGGGCGCAGATGAGACGTTATTTATGCATGAAAAACATTCATTCTACAGAACGTAGAATCAAAGCCTAAATTAATACTTCATAATCTTGTGTCACTATTTCTCAGTTATGTTGTAAAAGAACAGCGTGTGTGTGTGTGTGCGTGTTATTCGAACAAAAGAATCGAACAGAGAAAGAGAATCTCGAACAGATTATTTTATTATTCTATTATGTACATAATATTCTCTCATTATATCGTACCGATATAAAAAAATAAAGTTAAATATGCATTTAAAGTTGATATATAGAGTATAATTTTATTTATTTCCTAGAATGTGCTTTATGCAATATGTCGAATATTATACCGTAATTCTACTTTTGCTACTATTATTGTATGCTTTGTCTTCGAAAGTTATTTTTCAGCTTGCGTGTTTATAATTATCTCTTATACATGGATCAAATTTTTTCGGCCAATCCTGAATGCCTGCTGTCGCGTTGTGAAGAAATGAGCACCTGCTTCACAGAAGCTGCTCGTTGGAATATGCAACAGTGTAGGTAATATACCACGATGCGTTCAGTTGTGCTGCAGCTGAGATAACTATTGAGTCTGACAGAAATCAAACGAGTAATATTATCACGAAATTACCACTTTCGTGTAATAAGTTTTTCTTTATTTTCGTTTTAATATTATAAAACTTGAATATCAAAATTTTCAAACTATCTGTAATATTACGAGAAAATAAGATATTTTTTAAAATCGCTATAAAATAATTTCCATAAAAATATATAAAAAAATTTACATTCAAAATCGTAAAGCTTCAAATATATCTAGTTTGTGAACATAATATGGTCCATCTACAGAAAGATTCAAATGTTTGTGCGCTTGATCAGAGCGGATCGTAAATGCGGGAGGCGGGATACGAGGAGCCACGTGACCAAGCGCGTGTTCAACAGTAACAGCTGCACCGATGCAGTCCTTTCAATTCACGTTGAACCTTCGTCGAAGTAACATTGCGGCGATCGGATCAGCAAGCCGTATTATTCGATTGTTCGGAAATATTTTATCTTGATTTTTTAAGTGCCGCAAATTAATTCTACGTTCGACACGTACGATACGTTAATTCGGAACGTCGCAGAGATTATTTTACTTTTAACACATTTTCAAGTTAAAATGATAGAGTGCGAAATTATTGTCTGCGTTTAATATGTCGATGCGATAAAAATTATGAATACGTAATTTTCAAGAGAAGAAAGGTGATTGTAATCGGAGTGAAAAAATTTGGCGTAAGAATATATAGCTTTAAGAATAATGAATAATCGCAGAAAGTCGACTCACGGTCGATGCGTGATGCTGACAATTGCTATCATTGCGTACATGTTGGCTGTACTCTCTCTCTCTCTCTCTCTCTCTCTCTCTCTCTCTCTCCGTTTTAAATTTGTTAAAATATTTGCCATGAAAGCATCTTTAACAGCAATGTCAGGACATTTTATATAGGAGAATTCACTTACCATGAAAACTACATGGGAAATCCTTGCTATTCACGTCTGGAAACGCGTTGCCGAGAATAATGAACCCTCGTACTGAACTCGATTTTTATATGTGAAAAGCTGTGAAAAGATCTTTCTCGTATTCAAGAAGAGTTAGAATGGCTTCTCTTTTCTCGACACTTTTATAGTGAGTTATAAAATACATATAACTGAAAGATTTAGACGAGAAATCAATACGTTGTGACTTCAAAAACAATTCACATTAAACTGATTCGTGTAAACTAATTGTAGACATCATATTATTGATTTATCAAAGGCGATAAGCAGCACTCTATAAATACAACTTTTAATTGTTGCACACAAGTTTTTTTTTAAATCAGTTCAGGTATTACTTCTCCAATTAGATTCCATCATTCTATTCTCGACTCTAATATTTTATTGTTAGCTGAAAAATCTTGCGACCCGACGTAATGAATCATTCTCATCTTCCATGTCGGTGCTTGTTGACGCGTTATCGAGACCGAGCAACTAGAAAATTGCTCGTATAATAGGTGGTTGATACAATACGAAGTAATGGGAACCATATAATACGCATGGGCGCAGATGAGACGTTATTTATGCATGAAAAACATTCATTCTACAGAACGTAGAATCAAAGCCTAAATTAATACTTCATAATCTTGTGTCACTATTTCTCAGTTATGTTGTAAAAGAACAGCGTGTGTGTGTGTGTGCGTGTTATTCGAACAAAAGAATCGAACAGAGAAAGAGAATCTCGAACAGATTATTTTATTATTCTATTATGTACATAATATTCTCTCATTATATCGTACCGATATAAAAAAATAAAGTTAAATATGCATTTAAAGTTGATATATAGAGTATAATTTTATTTATTTCCTAGAATGTGCTTTATGCAATATGTCGAATATTATACCGTAATTCTACTTTTGCTACTATTATTGTATGCTTTGTCTTCGAAAGTTATTTTTCAGCTTGCGTGTTTATAATTATCTCTTATACATGGATCAAATTTTTTCGGCCAATCCTGAATGCCTGCTGTCGCGTTGTGAAGAAATGAGCACCTGCTTCACAGAAGCTGCTCGTTGGAATATGCAACAGTGTAGGTAATATACCACGATGCGTTCAGTTGTGCTGCAGCTGAGATAACTATTGAGTCTGACAGAAATCAAACGAGTAATATTATCACGAAATTACCACTTTCGTGTAATAAGTTTTTCTTTATTTTCGTTTTAATATTATAAAACTTGAATATCAAAATTTTCAAACTATCTGTAATATTACGAGAAAATAAGATATTTTTTAAAATCGCTATAAAATAATTTCCATAAAAATATATAAAAAAATTTACATTCAAAATCGTAAAGCTTCAAATATATCTAGTTTGTGAACATAATATGGTCCATCTACAGAAAGATTCAAATGTTTGTGCGCTTGATCAGAGCGGATCGTAAATGCGGGAGGCGGGATACGAGGAGCCACGTGACCAAGCGCGTGTTCAACAGTAACAGCTGCACCGATGCAGTCCTTTCAATTCACGTTGAACCTTCGTCGAAGTAACATTGCGGCGATCGGATCAGCAAGCCGTATTATTCGATTGTTCGGAAATATTTTATCTTGATTTTTTAAGTGCCGCAAATTAATTCTACGTTCGACACGTACGATACGTTAATTCGGAACGTCGCAGAGATTATTTTACTTTTAACACATTTTCAAGTTAAAATGATAGAGTGCGAAATTATTGTCTGCGTTTAATATGTCGATGCGATAAAAATTATGAATACGTAATTTTCAAGAGAAGAAAGGTGATTGTAATCGGAGTGAAAAAATTTGGCGTAAGAATATATAGCTTTAAGAATAATGAATAATCGCAGAAAGTCGACTCACGGTCGATGCGTGATGCTGACAATTGCTATCATTGCGTACATGTTGGCTGTATTTGTCAAGGTATGTGTGCACATAGTTTTTTTAGATTTATTTTCACATTTGTCTTGATTTTTCAAAACAATTTACTTATTAATGCAAAACGGAAGAGTGTCTAAATAAAAATTTACGAACAGAAGTAAATCAATAATTATTACTAACAATGAAAGTATGTTTAACTTCAACAAGTATCTATAGAAAAATTGGAGGTCGTCCAATCTCCATCGAGTTTGAGCAACGAAAGTTCTAGGATATAGTGTACGTTTGACAGAGAGCTGTATTTATCGAAATAGGATAAATTGTATAAAAAAAAAATTTGATCACATCGCTGTAATTCATCGGTAAGATATTCCAATAATATTAAATCGCTTTTGTATTTGAGTTAAATTAATTATCGTCATCGTCTTTAAAGAAGAAGGGAGAAATAGAGAGAGAGAGATAGTACAATCACATTTCATTGCTTAGAAATTCCCATATTATATGCCCTCGGATTTAGTGACTTTATTAAACAAAATATAGAACTAATTATTGGCTAAATACTTTTGTGAAAGCACAGTTAATAACGCAAAGATGAAGAAGAGCGACCAAGATAACAATCGTCATGCGAGAATTTCGAACGCTGATTTTATGATGATAATTATTATTACCCGATTCATCTTGAAATATCGCCGACAGATAAGATCGGTTCTCACATGCGAGCGCATCTTTGTAATGTACAGAATATATAAGCATGAATAAAGATAGATGAGAGAGCACGAGGGTTGAGCCGAAAATATCAAAGTTACGAACATTTAGACGATACATATACATATGAACAAGATATGATGCGTAGCAATCGAGAATACTACGATTATCAAAATTACATATTTTATTATTTTGTCTTTATTTATGCTTATGAAAGAAAGAAAAATATTTCACATAAAAATATTCTAGAATTAAACATTTTATAAAAAAATTAATTTGTAAAAAATTAAATTTAAAAACACTTTTTTGTTATTTATATAAATTAGGTTTTGAACTAACAGATCTTAAATCTTATGAATTATAAAAAAAAAACTCTCTGTTATTAGATACCCTATAAAGATTTTATTTAAATAATAAAAATTATTACATTATAATTATTTCGTTTTTTTTTTATATGTGAGATTTATAAAGATTAATCATTTTAATTTTAATTAGTTAACATTTGATCAAATTATATATATCGCGTATCGATATAACATTGTATCTTGTTACATATTTTGCATCGGACTGTAAAACACTCGGCATGCGTATTCAAAGAGTTGAACGCACGAACACAAAGCACGAGCAGAGTGCATATGTCGTTTGCAACTTGTGTTTGTGTTGGGGGCCCATGCCGCATTATACAGCACGCATTCGTCTGGCATGTTAGTCGGCGGGTTATTCGGTTCACTGGGGTACGTCGTGCTTTATGAGGCTCATTAGTATGCCATGGGAACCCGGAGACGGCGGTTCCGCTGGCGATGCGATTTTCGCGATGATCTTCGTCGGGCCTGACTCGCGCTCTTTTACGCCCTCGCAAGGAACGTTCAGGTGTGCATTATAGGAAATAGAGGGTCGCGCACACACACACAAGGATATATCGGCGTCGCAGACGCAAGGAAAAACAGCGTTGTGTTACAACGTAACATCACGTACAATTATCTTAAATACGATATGCTACATGTATCGGCAATTTGGGTATATCGGCAAATTACGGTATCGATACGGCGTGGCCGCAGTCTAACAGGTGAAAACAGAAAGAAAGTACATGTTTACGAAACGGTACTTTGTAACGTACTCATACACATAGTTTCACGAAAGAGAGTGTGATGTATTCGCGTTGCAAGTCGAATTACGCGAGATGGGACAATAAAGGAAAGATAAAGGAAAGAGGGAGAGAAGAACATACGCATGCCCGATTGTAGAGACGCGGAATTTCAGAGGAAGGATGTAGAATTCTAGCTAAAGTTTCACACATGTATTTTCGTATTGTTGTGAATTATTGACGTGGAAGAACTTGTCAGTCCGAATGGCGCCTTGGCGCGCTGCAAACTGCCTGAAATGTACCTTGTTTACGCGGGTGATTGGTGAGGTCTCGGAGGGTACCGGATCTCATTAGCATTGTAAGAGAACTCGAGAAGCTACGACGATTTCCTTCGCGGTACAATTGTCGCGATATTGCCAGTTATGTTTGAACGAATGTGAGACATTCGTTCCCTGAATAACGAACGTAATTAACATAATTATATTTGCACAATCGTGTCTTTTAATTATTATCCATTTTTCTACGCAATATTTTACATTCGGTAGCTATGAGTTTATCATTTTTGTTCCATTTTCATTTCGATAGTAAACAAAGGTCTGATGCGCACTTTATTCGCGATGTCGAAGCAGTTACAAGAGTATGCTCTTACCTCTCCCCCATCCAGGTGCGCGGTAACCTTCGTCGACCCACGGAATATATAGGTGGAGGGCAGGGTGTTCGTGGAACAATAGGGTGCGTAGTGGTCAAAGATAATTATCGCGGTTCTCGAGGCAGCTGCGACTCTGTGGGTTAACCCTCAGGGTAACCCCGGTGTCTTCCTCCGGGAAGTAGAACCGACCGTTGTGTGCTGTGTGCTCGACCGAGGAAGTCAGGCACACATATTGTACATACTAAGGGGAGAACCCAGTCTAGCGTGACTCCGCGGGTTGCTGCCTGTTGCAACTTTGACGGTACCCTCCTCCGAATATCTCGAGGCTTTGCGGTTTGTTCGAGTTCGTTGAAAGCTTCCTGTCGGAAATAACACAAGAAAGTAGCAAACGTATAAAAGAACTATGAATATATAATAGAATATATGCAAAATATTACGTATCCTCAATTTTTGACGATTCTTGATTGTGAATATACTTATATAATATATATTTTAAAATTTATTGTGTATATATTTTATACGCACATCTAATTATTGCTATTTTCTAATCTTTGATATATAGTTTCATCTTTTACATGATGTTACACAAAAGTGAAAATATGATATTTAAGGCGAATTTAATAAATATTTCATGTTTAATATTGATAGAGCAGAAATCGAAAAGATTCAATCCATCGTAGAGTAAGCGCATCGACGATGGGTTTGAATGAAATATCTTATCCTATAATAACGTTTGGAACGTGTCTCCGTTCGGCTTCGAAATTACAGCAATTTTTCTCTCGTGCGCAAGGTATCCGCCTCTTCCGGTGACAAATGGAAGTAGGCCACGTTCCCTCAGGTGAGCCGACGAGGATAAAAATCCAACCCTGACGCGATCCTATATATACATACCTATATAATATACATACGGGAATCTTTTCATATTCAAAAAAAAAAAAAAAAAATCTTTGCTAATTTTTCTCATGGTCTTAGAAACGCAACAGAGTACTACAATTACTTACAAATTTAGCGAAAATGATTTTCAAAGTTGTTTTCGGACATTGATGATGATTTTGTTATTTTTGCTACTGTTTTTCATATTCAAAAAAAAAAAAAAAAATCTTTGCTAATTATTCTCATGGTCGTAGAAACGCAACAGAGTACTACAATTACTTACAAATTTAGCGAAAATGATTTTCAAAGTTGTTTTCGGACATTGATGATGATTTTGTTATTTTTGCTACTGTTTAATTAAATTAAATTTTTTTTAAATATCATTTATTTTGCAAACACGCCATGAACGAAAAAACTTGAATGAAAGAAGACCAATGTCCAATTTTCGTTAAATCATGCGAGTTTTATATCGTGTCGCACGTGCATTCATCGATCAGCATTGAAATTTATCGGCATCAATGTGTCTATGAAAAAAAAAAAAGGAAAACAAAAATGGGACACAAAAGGGACAGCAATTACCGTTTCCGTTTCGTTCTTCCATTCCGGAAGTTTCTATTCATACTCGTCACACTGTGAACGCAACATTACTTCCGTCATCATCGTTACGGATCGTTTGCCGACACCGCCGTTCGATTTGTCATCGGATTAAATCGATGCATCGCGGTTGTATCGCGAAAAATATCTTTATGTTATATATAAGGCAAGTGAATTCTATTCTTCTTTCTCGTTTACTCTCGTCTAGCCCCCCGGAAATTCTAATATCGACATACCGCGAATTTTTTATGACGATCACGTTTCTCTACGGTGCATAATCGTTGGTTTACGATATGCTCGCGGTTAGTAGAAAATCGGCGGGAGAAAGATTGGAAATCGCCAAAGGCAATTCTTAACATCCAAAGATATTCTTAACATGATGCAAATCCTTTTTTTTCTCTCTCTCTCTCTCTCTCTCTCTCTGTCTCTTTCTCTCTTGTATTGTTCGAGCGGGATGTTGACATTTCGAAAGCGATTACTCGTCGACTCGTCCCGAACACAAGAACATTCTGCGGTTTCTGCGAACAAACTTTTTTCCGATCGATAAATCTTGCCCAGGCAAAATCGCGTCTTCACGATTGCTACGAGACGTTCGAGGGTATATATCTTCGTCGAAGAATGTGACGTGCCTCCCACTTCGAGCAATTACCTAGAAGAAGCTTCGGAGATCGATATTCTTTGCCTCGTTGATGCTATTCTCAAAGTATTCTCGCCGCAAATTTAACGTCAAATATAGTTGCTCGGTTCATAACTCACTTCGGTACTGTGAATGCAATTTTCCGTGTATTAAAATTCTATTGAGCTAAAGTATAAAACAAGCTTCTTCATTTATATTTATTTTTAATATTCTTTTATATTTTCGAAGATTAATTTGTTGACAGCTGCTTGATGTTCAATGGCTCATTATTATTCAATTCGCTAACTTAATAAAGTGATTATCGGCTTCGAAGGGTCGCAACCCTTAACTAGCTAGGTTTGCCACAACCGTAAATTGACAGCAGGCATCCTTACATGTAAATGTGACGGCTCGTGTTACGTCTAAGATGAGGTGACGGGCGTTTTATTGAACTGTTGGGAAAATAATGCATATTTTCTCAAAGAGCAACTTTGTATTATTAATCATGCATAAATACATAAGAAATTGACAATATTTTTCATTTGGGCGAGAGAAATCAAAAGTCGCATAATACAAGATTTTACTTTAAATCACGAAAAAAATGTCTCTTGATAAAATTATCTTTTCTGTAAAATCGCAGATTCATAAAACGAATGTGCAAGTCGAAGGATGCACGTAAAATTAAGATTAAAAATTATACTCTCTCTATGTAATAGGAAGCTTAATGATGTTAACGCTGATAGCATGTGTATGGAAGGAGGATAAATAAGGTAAAGGGTTTTGAATTAAGGTCTGGTGCTAATGATTCGCATGATGCGTGATGACTGTCGGCGCGTGCCGCACGAAACAGCTGCCAACAGCTGCTCTTAAAAGGGATCGTTTCTCTCGGTCTTCTTATTTTTACCTGTCGCTTTTGTGGTCGAGCGACGCATCCGCGTCTCTAACATATATATGTTATAGAGAAATATTTTTTTCCGAAACAAATCTTTTTAAAAATTTAGCTATAATTAAAACCCCTATCTCTTTTGAAACGTTGGATGCAGAGATAATATGAGTTTAAAGGTAATCAAAATTTCATTATTCGTTTTCTAAGTTTATCGACTGATGGATCAATAAATTCTCTCTATACTAAAAGAAATTCGAGAACTAAATGAGTTTATATGTCAAATCTTTTTGCGTATTAATGTTAAATTGCTAGAGAAAAAATGAATTATATTATTTGACTGCTATGTGGATTAAACATATATAAAAAACATTTTAATAATATTATTCAATAAATAGAAACAATTTTAAATGGAGAAATTACTTTTTTCGGGAAAATTAATCGGCGAAAGTATAGCGGGATATATCCTAACGTATTAAGAGCAGCATTTTATGCGTGAGAGAGTACGGGGGTTCATATATCGCGTCTCGATCTGGCCAAAGTAGGCGGAAGAAAGGCGCAAGGTGTTCTCCCGCAGTCAGGTGGCCGCCTTCTTCTGTGCACCTGTTGTTGGACGGTCAAACCTGCATTTCATCAAGTCTGATTAGAAGAGCAAAAAGATAATGGTCGGAGGTCGATGATGCACAATTCCTAGTCCATCCATAGTATAATCCATTTGACATTACACAATATACTCAATTGCAGAAAAAATAGACACACATCGTCCATAGCTTTACACTATTCAGAGATATACATTATATATGTCAAAAAATAAAATGACTATATAGAACGATTAATAAGATTGTTTAGTAAAAGAATAAGTTAACCGCGCGTTGGTTGGCCATTGGTTACCTGTCGGTAGTAACCCCTATTAATTATATGCAATTAAGAAATAATTATGAAATTTTATGGACCGGTCGTTCAACTCTTGATTTTGTATCGTGACTTCGCTTCCTGAGATGCCTAAGAAGATATTTCAAATTAAAACGTTATGCGGTTAATAATTATAGGTTCACGCTGTAATTTGAGAATCTGATTTCTCGAGTGATTTCTCCAAATTAAAAATATTAAATAAATTTTACAAAAATATATATTATTGTTAGGGCCAATCGATCTTAGACAAGAATGTTTCTCTTTCATGAAAGATACAAAATATAATTAAACGTAAAATACGCAATTTTTTTACAGTGATATGTAAGCACGTTACTTGTATAAAGAATTTATTTATCAATCTGGATGCATACATAGTACATCTTTAATTGTCCACGAATATTATTCAGAAGATCGTCCGGAATCGATTGCGCAAACAGTTTTCGAATCGCTTCTGGAATCCGATCTCAAAGATTACAACATATCCTCGACGAGCCTTACGTCTGTTGTTGATTCAGACTCAGGACTACTATACTAACCATCTGCCGCTCTGTACGATTCCAGACGGGCGAAGGCAAGCCTCACATCAGGCACCACCGGGACGGCTCGCACTGCAGCAGATGCGGTCCAGGCTGGGGCGTGATTAGCCGCTGCGCCCGCGGCCGCGACACCGTGTGCGGAAAGTGTCCCGCCGGCACGTACAGCCCGCATCACGGCACGCAGCCCTGCTGGAACTGCGCCAGATGCGGCCCGGGTTTGTACGAGGCGCATCCGTGTACCACGCGCACCGACACCGTCTGCGACTCCTGTCATCGCCCGACGCCGGACAATCCCGATTATCGGCGCAAGTGCGAGGGTCGCGCGAGGTTCTTCCTCGCACCGGAGGATGCTCGGAGCACCGCCGAGGAGAGCGTGCTGGTGAACGAACCGGCGTACCGTTTCCAGCTCAACGACAGGGAGCAGATACTCGAGAGAGACGTGGAGGCCATCCTGAGGGACAAATCGGCCGCTCGATCGGAGGATCTATCGAGAATCTAATTACCATGCGAATATTGATCCTGAATAAAATTGTATTCTTTGTCCATCGCGGACAAGACGGAAACAAAAGGTTTTTGCAACAGTATTACTCAGTTGTTACAAGATTCTCGGAAGGTTGAACTAGGATACTCAAGAAATAAGCGGATCACGCAGAGTATAAAATCCGAAGAGTATAGATCCGAAAATAGAGGATTAGAGGAATAATGTATGTATGTTCGATATCCATCTTTTTTAATACTAGTCAATTAATATTTAAGAGAATTGATATTGACTGAGAAGTAGCGTACGATCTCGGTACAATGTACGGTTTGCATTCAATTGGAAATTTATTATTTTCTGTCTCTCGTTCATTCATTATACACACACAGAGGAATTCCGATCATTCTGCATCGTACAATGCAGCACAAATGGAAAACACTCTCTATATGCAAAGTATAATTAGCATATAAAAAAATTTCTTTCCTCTTATGTACGAGTAAACGGTTATACTTTCAATATTTAGATCTACGTTATATGTCATAATGAGATGAATATTTAATGTAATTCAATATTATCTGTGTGTGGGCGCTATAGATTATTTTGCAACATCTGTATCGAAATTTTTACATACAGCCATTCTTGAATTTTAGGATATATTTTCACGAAAATTTTCGTGATTACATTTTTACGTGCATTTGAATATATAAATATTGCACATGTCATATATATATATGCATAGATTAAACTCGCTGTTACCATTGACTGACGAGAAGGTCGTACGCTTATAACTAATCGATATATTCGAATCCACGTAAATGCGGTCTTTCGAATTTCATTTGGAATTAGTACGACGCGTAATGGCAGATGTCAAGTCGCATTTAGTCCTTGATTGCTATTTTCCACTTTATCGAAAAGCATTTTGGTGTCCGTGGTTACGAATTCGATATTCCTGCCAAATATTCGGCATGTTTTTTGGATCGATCACGCAGATGCGAGCGGTTTAAAGATACGAGCGAGCGCTGCAAATTATGTCTGTGTTGCTAGATCAATATGGCCGTTTACATTTTTTAACATTATTTATACATATACAGTTCTGCTTACGGATATAGATCTCTCTGTATATTACACACAAACTTGCGGTGTGAACAAACTTCGATGTTACATTTCCAAAGACCTTTCGATATCATTATGCTCTTATTTCGTTAGATAGGTATAATATGCACACATCTAATCGATACGCACGTATATTCCAATTTTAAGGATAGATCGGGATTGCCTCGTTGCATATACGGCTTTTTTTTACTCGAGAGAACTAATTATAGATATCGATAAACGAGAACGTGCCAAGTTTGATACGTTTAAGGTGAAAGTTTCGTCGACACGTGTCCTCGTTTGATTTCATTGGATAATATAATGTCGGTTCTCAACAGCGCGTTAAGCTTCCAGAAATAATTTTCTCTCAAAACGAGAACGCTGTGGGCCACTTATCAAAAATAGAGAAGCCAAAGTATATCTATCTTATCTTTTGACTTTCATCCTTTTAATGGTATGTCACGATTGGTCCACATAATCCATGTAGCAGTGTAATATTTAAAATGAAGGATAAAACAAATAAGAGGAAATTATAAATAAACTATTTACATACGCAAGATATTCCAATAAGTATCTTACGAACAAATATATTTTCGCAACCAGACATATATCGTTTCTTTTTTATTTATTTGACGATATTTATACTTAATAGCAATTCGATGTTGAATTATATCTCATTAGTTAATCCTTTCAAGTGTCGCGCAATTGATAAAACTGATAGGACTAGCAATTCGGCTATTCGGAATTGAGTTGACTCTGATATCGTTATACAGTGGCTCGCATTCTTAGCGTGCATTTAAAGTTAAACGTGACTCGATTTTATCTCTATATATTTTCGTTTTTATACATAAATGTGAAATTTCAGACTAGACGATTGTATTTAACATTGAGTGAAACGACAAATACAAATGAGATTATACAAGCCAACATGGCTTATTGTCTAAATCTAGATATGTTGATAAGATAATTTACACGCGGATTTCGCCTACGAGACGATACATTGTCCTGCCCGATATCACAGAAAATACTCGAATAACATCAATATCGATCGTATCCATTGCTGTATCTGTATATCTAATCAAATATTTTGTGTGTTAATTACCGCGTCTCTCGAATCATGATACGTTCGTTATTTCATATATTAGCAAATTTCATAGTCAAATAAACACATGTATGCGTAACTAATAATTGAATGCCAAGTTACACGCAATTGGATAGATCAGCCAGATGCGGCAAATTATAACGCTATGAAAGAAATGTATCAAATAATACTATTAATTTATCTTGATACTACACTTTTATGAGTAAGTTGTTTGTAAATATGTCATAATGAAACACTATCTAAACATTTCTATCGCTTTATTCATCATACCATTTCGATCCTTTATCGTATATTTAATTGTTACGTTCGTATGGAGATACATTTTTCAGGGACATAACTTTGGAAAAGTTCATTCAATAAACAGTAAACATAGGACGCGTTTCTTGAATAGAGATTGTGGCCCCTTTAATATAGTTGCTTGTACTTTCATGTTACAACACTGATCACAATAAATCAACGTTCGCAATAACTTTGACGATTAAGTAAAACGAAGCGACACCATCGAATATGTTTGAATAAATGGAGGCAATTGTCGGACTAATGAGAGAATCGAGAGAGTCAAACAGATATAAAATAAATCGGTGATTTTCTCTTCACTCCGAGAGGAAGAAAGAACGTTTATAGGATATGTGATGGGAATCGTTAGAATCATACTTGGAAGAGAAAGAAAAATGTAAACAAATGTACGCGCTATGGGAGACTAAAAATTGCTTTCGCATAACGAGATTAAAATACATATTTTGAACTTTCTTAAAGTTGTCTTAAAGCTTTTTCAAGCTCGGAATTTGAAGGATCGAAGGGTGAATTTGTAATAAAAAAAGTAAGTATATTCGAACAATGTATATAGTTAGAACAAAAAAAAAAAAATCCGTTACACAATATTCGCTGCGAGAACGCCAAGAGAAATAACAGCCAAACTCAGCTGGAGATCAAGATCAATGTACGTCCATTAATTCTAATTCGAGTTTAAAATCACGGCGGTCAGGAGCCAACAACAGCCACGATACAATTCATGCGTATGCTATACGAAGAAATAAATACAATCTCGATAATTATAAAAGAACGAAAAATCGAAATCTACCACGAATATCATCATACGATACATCCGGCTCGTTCTTCACAGATAATTACTCTTCTACTCGCCGACTGTTTTTTTTTCTTTTCTTTTTTTGGAAGGCAGGGAAGTTGGTTCACAATAGAGAGGGTCTACTGTTAAATTCCTACAATTCCTTTAAATTTCTCCTTTAAATCTGTACACGATTAGACCGCAATGAAGAGGAGACAACGACAGAGGATGACCACGCGAGAAGATATTTCGTGGGACACGCGAAAAACACTCCCTTTAATTTCTCTCGCGATCAAAGAAAAAAATATTCTTAAGATATTATACATTCGAATATCCGAATGTTGAAATATCCCGATGATATCGCGAAATAATCTTGAAATAGAAGGAGATAGGCTCTACAACAATTTAATGCAATAAAACGCGCATAAAAGCTTAGGAAGTTTTTGATATTACGTCGCTTTCTGCATCTGACTTTGCGAGTATATTCAGTTGGCCAACTAATCCCGTAAATTCTACAGTAGGCGTAACAATGAAAATTACACGAGTAGTACCATTCGAGATATTCGAATTACGAATATTCGATTGTACGTTGCATTCGAATATCGAATCGTACCGACATTGATTGCTTCGATCGCCGGTTGATCGGATCGCATCGCTGTATAATAATCTAACAACTGTGTATCGTCACACACATTTCTCTCTTAATACATAATCCGTATATTTATAATATATATGAAGGTATGTATATATATTTATATTGTATATATATTAACGTAACTTTCATTTGAATGTGAAACGGCCCGCACACGATTCATCAATTCGCATAATTTTTTTGCATAATGTTTATCTAATGTGATTTGATTTTAACATTGCTAACAGCTTCAACTTCATTCATTCGTGTACGCAATAATCTTTTAAAGCATCGAATCATGTGCGAGTTTTTAAATCTAAGCGCAAAACATATTTTCATCTCTATATTATAATAAACGAGCATGAACGTGAAGATAAAAAGATATCATTATTATAAATCTCGTTGGTTGTCTTAAAACATAATTTTACCGAACATCATATAATCTTCCTCGCAAATCCATGACTGGTAATCAATAGTGGCGGTCGAGGGTTCACGTCAATCAGTTTGTTTATTTTTTTTTTATTCATAATTTTCGGAAGATCAAGTCTCGATAAAATGACAAACTTATACTATGAGATTCGTTAAAAAAAGTCGCGTGCAATATATATATAGAAGATTGATAAAAATTACAAAATGTTTTATAATTAGTACATTATTAGATTATATATATATATAATTTGTATAACATTGTAAAAAAACTATGAATGAAAAATATACATCACATCGACATACATACAATATAAATTATAAAATCTGCATATATTACATATACATTTAAAAAAAAAGACAAAAGATCTGTTAACGACACCATACAATAAATTGTTACACCGACAATAATTTATATTTCTAGATGTGTTTTACGTCGGTGCGCCAGTGCTATTAAAGCGTTGATTAAATTTTGTAGCAAAGTACATATTATATAGAATTTATAGATTAAGAAAAACATGATTCTTTTATAACAGCTTTTGAAATATTAATCACAGGAATGAAAAGAGAGAAAATGTAAAACGCCCTTACTTTTTTTACATTAACTTATGATTCAGCAATAATTACACGATAAAAGAACCTAACAGTAAAATATTCAAATCCTGTCGCGTATTGTAAAATAATAATAATCGTAGAAAAGGGAAAAAGATAATAATATAATAAAATTCCATTATGCACAATAAATCAAGAAGTAAAAGAAAAACTGATAGCGCCGTGTTCTCTCGACCAATACTAGCCAAAATATGTGACTAATATATATAATTTAAGAAAAAAAGGAGGAATATAATAAGGACTTAGAAACATGGGGAAAGGGGGGATTTACACACTACAATTGAATATAAAAAATATTCTTACTTCCCTGAAAAAAATAAGACATAAATGGAGAGTAAGAAAAAAATTTGAGCTTGTATGGCTACAAATAATGCAACCTATGTATCTCTCGTAAATGTTTATAGCCATTTGTAATTAATTCAAATTTTATATGTACAATTGTATATAAAGCTTTATAAAGATCGGTAATATCTCACTGATCATTATAAAGCGATATTTAAATCATATTTAGAGCTGCTCTTTCCATTGTTAATATTATAAAACGCATTTCGCAAAACACACTTCAAATATTACCTGTACAGAGTATATACTCTATTGAAATATACATCTAACGTAAAATTCTCAAAATAAGTAAACATACTTCTACAACTACAAATCATTAATGTGTGATTTAGATTTCAATTAATAACATACTAAGATTATAACATACCTCCCATTGGAATCATTTTGTAAACATAAAAATGACCAGCCATGGATTTATAATATATCAATATCAATATTATATAGAAAATCTAGAATATTATTCAAAATCAAGATTAGAATAGGGCGCAATTAAATATAAATTCTACTAATTATACAATAATTAATTTGCAGCTGTTAAATATAAGGATATATCTATCTGATAAACAGCTAATATTATACAACTACTGTCATTGTGCCCAAATCTACTCTCGCTCACGCGACGATCTCATAGCGAAATATCGATGCGAATAATCCGTGAATCTAAACGGAACTTATGACGCATGGATACGAAATGATGTAACAAAGAGACATTCACATACAGAGAGATGTTCTAATCTCAAGGATCTGATCTTAATGACTCGCCGATGTTAAGAGTTATATAAATCGTAACGATATAGAGGTAAATATGTATTATAAAATTAAATAAAAAAAAAAAAAAAAACATTCTTTGTTTCTATAATGTGGCAATGTTTGTGAATTTACTCGCAAGGATATCAATCCTCACGATATCTTCTTCATTCGAAGGAATTAATGAAATTTAATTCAAAAACATGCACGTTGCTAAGAAGCTTGCCATACAAGTGCAATTTAAGCAGATATATATATATA